TGATTAGAAGGGATGATTCAAACTTTTCAAATCTATGATTTTGTGAGAAAATCCTCCTAACAGAGCAAATAAAATTGACCTTCACGTCAGTTTTCATGGAATAATAAATTCATTTTTATTTAAACAACTAAACGGTGAAATATAAACGGTTAGTTTTGCTTCCGTTTGGGTTCCCTCCGGCTGTCTTTTAGTTTCTAAAATGTTACTTTGATAAAAATAACATAATTAATTTTTATGTAACAAAAAAGAAACTGAAACGATCCGTTATCGTATGCGCAGTAATGAAAATAAATAGTGTACGGACTTCATTTAGAAATAAATTATAAACTATCTTTCTGTCCTTAAAGTTTATAGACAAAAATATGATCAAGTTAATGTACAGCCATTTACAGTATTGTAGTTGATGCCTATCTATACTTTTGCACTCTTTTACACATGACAGTACTTAGAGAAAGTAGTTAAATAAAAAAGCATACATTTTCTAAAACACACAAAGCAATAAGGTATTTCAATAAAACATTAATATCCATACCATGATTAAAACGTTAATATTTCACAAATAAAAAAAAATCCTTTTCACGCTTGGTACCTAGAAACGGTAATATCAATTTAGAAGTCATTGTATATTTCTTAAATAATCGTAAACGTAAACCCCATTCATATTAGGAAATACGAGATTTCCTTTAAAAAGGGCATTAGCTTCAAATATTATTTTGAAACACAAGTCAATGTTATATACAATGTCGGATAAAACACCAGAGAAAAGAAAAATTACTATGAGTGCATATTAGCTGGGTTTAAACTAATGTTTAAAAAATCATAAATACACAATTTTGTTTATATACTACGAAATTTTGAGATACGAAGCTTTAATTCATTTAACTACATATTTATTTATCTTCTTCTTTAGTACATCACATGTTAAACAATACTGTAAATAAGTTATATAAAACCTCAGACCACAATTCATTCCACGAAGCAAAGCACATTTCATATTCAGGACAAATCCAGTCACCTCTCTTTCCTTTGATCCTAACCTCACCCCGCTTCACACTTTTATCGCCCGCATTCAAACGCTTTTATCACACAACTATTGTTTTATGGTTAAAACCGTATTCCAACTGTGTAATTCCTCGGTAAAACATATTTCCACATTACTGCAAGGTACAGAGTAGGCTATTGTTTATTTTGTACTAGTTATCGTAGTGTTTACATGGTTAGGTTGTTGATTTTGAATATAAATATTTGAAGTCTTCCACATTTTGTATACTATTTTACTTGTACTCTATTGTAGCTTTCGTTGGAGTTACAGTAAATGATCTTGATGTACTATTAAATTAAAATTGTTTTCCTTCGTTAAATAAGAGTGATCTTTTAATATTAAAGATTTTCTTAAGCTAAAATTGAGGATTAATTACAACTAACAACCAGATAGAGAACTACATTGTCTGAACATAATTTTTAAATAGCTCTATTAATTTTGTGTTCAAACATTGTCTTCCAATTACACAATTGTAAATAACATATGTATTTCAGATTCTACTACACTCTACTTTATACTTCGTATATGTAACTCCAATTGGTGTAAAATAAAAGTTATGCGTGCACTAAAATGTACAGTATATGGAAATGTATTACATGGAAGACGATTCCACACGGCTACTTAAAATATAAGAACATAGATCGAAGGTTAATGTTTAATACAAATTCATGTTTATGACTTCGGGAACGCATAATATATTGGTTCCTAATTTAAATGGGTTGTAGGTATCACTTCGTAGCTAAAAGTGGCAAAATAAATCCTGGAGATTAAATTTTTTTCTCGCAATTACAGAAACAAATTTAAAATATATTATACGAAAATTTGATTCAACCTAAATTAAAACTGTTCAATTTGCATCCAAACTTAAATATTTTTAATCATTCATAGAAGCATTGTCAGATATTAAACCCACGAGAAACTAATCCCCAAATGTTTCATCTCGCTGACATAAGGGAATGAGACATTGTTAAGTGCAAGAGCTGATGAAACATTTCTGTACAAAGCCATACATGTGCGTATCTTGGGGACGGGTTGTATGCCTTTGCTTAATACATGAGGAGAGTAATAACGTGGTATTGTAATTTTAAGAAGAGTAGTGGAGCAAATGAAAAATACAGTTTAAATATTATTTTTCATAATTATTTCCAAATTTTTCATTACTGTAACGTCAAATTTGGTAACAAGATCCCAGTTGTTGTGTTTTTTGTTTATAAATTGCGGTAAATTACACATTTATACACAACTGACATCAAACTTTCTGCTTTCGAGAACACATGAACTAAAAATTATAGCATAGATATTTTGGGGTAAATTGGCCTAGATGCAAAAGATTTGAAAATAAACAAGCTGTATTTATTTTTTGGATAATAATTCCCGTTTTTATATTCATGGTTAGGTAAAACAACATCTGTTGCAATTAGTTTAGAAAAGAAAATTTTATTTAACTTCGGGATGTTTAGTGCTGTAATAAATTATGTGTTTTTATTTCATTGCAATGTACGGAATCGCAAGCTATATATATATATATATATAAATAAAATCTAGGTATGAAAGTAAACCATTTATCCAAATATCCATATCACTTAAACTATATTGTCCTAAATGTGCCAGGGAGCCTGTCTTGTTCCAGATCTCAACCCCCTTAGGTCCTTGGTTTCACAACTTTCATGTTCAACGTAAAGTTACTCTATTAATTGATTTTAATGGAAAAAGTAAGTAATTAACAAATCATATATTCACTTTTCTTAAATATTTCAAATGCTCCTGTTTTTAAGTGCAACATTTGCAATTGACACAACTCATAGAAGATTCAGATTTCTGAAATTTAATAGTCGCTAAAGACTATAAGTTAATGTTAGTTTCTTTTGTTTTGAAATTTGCACTGATTATAGAAACTATTGAAAACTTTATGTTCAGAGTCTGCAGTTTTATATGTTTATTTAAAAATAGAACTCCACCTCTAGACGTCCACGTTTCAACGCCATTCTCGTCACGAACAAGCCAATTAGGTTTTCTCTCTGGTTACTCAACCTTGCAGCGTCTGCAACCACAGCTTACAGAGACTACGTTTATTTCAACACAAATTTGTTTTATGGTTAAACAAATTAGCATAACAAACGAAATCTTTATTTTAACAAAAAAAAACATGCTAGCTTGAAGTCACAATAAACTACAATATAGTTATGCCTAAAGAGTGAAACGTATAGTAAGTGTTTTTAAGAGATTTTTATTATCTCATAAAAAATCTGGAAATATATCTTGGGGTGACAAATAAAGATATTTATTTTTTTTATTTTTACATTAATGTTCAAAGTATATTCAGGTACATACATACACTTTGTGCCAGTCTGAAAGAAAAATAATTATTTAAATCCCTCCAACTGTCGTTAATCTCCAAATGAAATAGTTAAAAATCTTATAGTATGTTTTTAAGACTAGACAATAGCTTCAACACAATATGTTTTGGGTTCAGCTTAAGTCCACGAATCAAACTGTTGGATTTATACTATAGGAATAATATAATGTATTCTACTTATTTGATAATGAAAATTTACGTTTGTTGATTTAAACTAAAACAAAACCCTAGATAATTTTGTATTAAAATATACATTTGCAATATGTTCACCAAATATTGAGTCAAACTGAACTTTTTTAGTCATAGGAAACGTATCTGAATCAATACTCTGTGGTTGAATCGTAAGCTACAGAACGATAAACTCCATTGTCAGAGGGTGGCGCTGTGCCAGAGAAGGTGTTAGGGAGTTGGCGACCCATGAGGGGAAACATTCAACGCTTTCAACTTTCAACATAACTTTCCCCAATCGTTGAAAGGGGCAGCGGAATTTACCTCATGCAACAGTAGGTGAGCGCGATGTAGACACTGCTAGTTGGTTGGAACATTCAGTTGATATTCGAGTATCTGTTTGTTAATTTATGATATAGTTGATTTTCGATACTACTCAAATTTTGGATAAACATTTTTAAGTTTATAACTTATTGTGTTGATTCTTTCTTCTAGTATGAATTGTTTGGAGGAAATTATTATAATTACAGACTAGAAATAGGGGTTTAAGACAATTGTTTGAATGGGGGATTTAAGGTTAGTTCAATATATGTTTTGAAATAGGTACTCATAGTTATGGCATTTTTGGCATAATTGGCATTATTGGCATTATTGGCATAAACCAGAACACTAAAAGTAAATTTTAACGTTTTTTCGTTTTGTTACAGGTATGAGGTGCTTTTGTATTTATACAGTGTAAGTACTAGATATCCTAATGTTTCGCTGTAAAGCAAACTTGATTATTGAGTTTTTTTTAGAATGCTTATGCTGTATTTAATATTCAAACAGTGATACTGAATTTGTACCCTATATACTACAGAATGTTTGTTACCAAAAAACGTATGAGAAGTAAAATCAAAGAATGGAACAATCTACCTATTTATAAGCTGCAAGGTTTTAAAATGTTATTTTTTTGCACCAAGAAACTTAGTCTTTAATCGTGATAAACATGTACATCAAAATATTTAAATGCAGGACACGTAAAATAAGTAAAGTTGGCTCAGTAATTCTCGCAAAAGAATGACACAATCTTGTCCGCAATCAGTGAAACAACGCTGCAGATCACATGCTGATTAATATGGGAACTACTTTACACTAATTTAGCCTGAATGACTTTAACCGATGTTTGAACGATTTATCGATCAAAATATAAATATTGCATGAATTAAGAGTTTTGTTATTGAAAATTCACATAATCACACAAAAATAAGCTATAACGCAACTTTAATAATATTTTCTTCAATGACACAATTTAATACAGTTAGTCATTGTAAGTAGACTGGTAATAGCAGAATTATATAAAACTGTAGACAGTAAGATTTCGTAACTATAGCAGGAAACTCATGCTCGGACTATATAATCCAGTGCCAGACACTGAGAGATCACACAGCAAGCATGACTGCTCTACTGGCAACACTGTGTCTTCTGACGCTAGCCTCCGCCGAACACTTCCATCACCACGTCCAACATCATCACGAGCACGTCAAAGCCATCACGGTGACCAAGAAGGTGCCTGTGCCGTACCCTGTCACCGTCGAGAAGAAAGTGCCTTACACCGTGGAGGTACCAGTCGATAAACCGTACCCGGTCCACGTGCCCAAGGCGTACCCCGTCTATGTCGAGAAGAAAGTGCTGTACACGGTCAAGGAGTACGTCCCGCAGCCGTACACGGTCTACAAGAAGGAGCCGTACCCGGTCGAGGTGCCCGTCGACAAGCCGTACCCCGTCCACGTCCCTAAACCTTACCCCGTGGTCGTCGAGAAGAAAGTACCTTACACGGTGGAGAAGCACGTGCCGTACCCTGTAAAAGTGGCTGTGGACAAACCTTACCCCGTCCACGTGCCTGTCGTCAAGCATGTCCCGTACACTGTAGAGAAGAAGGTGCCTTACAAGGTAGAGGTGCCTGTGGAGAAGCCCGTACCTGTGTCTGTGCCCAGGCCTTATACGGTCGTTGTGGAGAAGAAGGTGCCTTATACAGTAGAGAAGCCGGTGCCTTACCCTGTTAAGGTACCTGTCCATTTTCCTGTATATCACCATCACCACGATATTAGACATGGGCTGGAACATGAGTACGAGAAAACATATTTTGATTAATTTTGTTTATTTTTATATAGTTCTGAATAAATAAACCTGTTAACTACTATATTTTTTAATTGTTATTTTTCTGAAGGTAATGGTAATATTCAATAGTTCTCATTCTAATGTGGTTAGACTGTGGTGAAGGCACCCGCATCAGTGTAATTGATCTCACCACACTCTGTGTCCAGGGTCCACTACAAAGGATTTAATTTACCACCCTGCAATATTAGCACAATGTATCATAGATCTATTATAAAGTCTGTCAAGAATATACGATGATTTGATTTCTCTATTTCAGTAATAGAGGCTTAAAGAGAGTTTGAACATTTATTGTTGTCGTGCTTTTTCTCTGAGTTAAGGGAACGGTCAATAGCCAAAATGGAGTCTTGATTTTTTTAAGATATGTGTAAAACCTTTTGGAAATCTCAAAGAATAGATTTACTTTCATAATTACCCTAATTTCAATGCTACAAATATAAGTTTATTCTGGGTTTTGTAGTTTTAACATAATCCACGAAGAACACTAAAGAAAAATTTTTTGTTTTGAGAAAATTGCAAAATATTAACCATTTAAAATATGGATAAAGCTATAAAAAAGAATATGAATTTGATAAGTTTAGTAAAGACTTAATCTGCAGAGAAATGGATAATTTAAATCAATCATTCATCTTAAGATATACTGAAAACAGTGGGCAAATATTTAGTAAAAGTTTTTTTATACCGAATAGTTTTTTGTACTGAAATAGAAACGAGTTCATAGTTTAACGAACGAGTAACAGCAAACAAGGAAACTGCTGAGTGATTACAGTTGAAACTCAAGGGAAATGTTTCTGTACAGTTTGTGTTGGCCAAACATAACCTCCTTTGACAGGGTATACGTTACTTCCTTTGTGATGTACTGCAATGTTTGAAAATGGCACTTATGATTTGATCAAATTGATTGGTATTACAATTATTGTGAATTGTGCTGCAATAAAATAAATGAAATTTTTGGTTTTTATTAGTAACAGCTCATGGGCTTCGTTGTAAGGATTAAACATCTTATTACACTAAACCATCTTAGTGGCACCGTTGTTGAAATGTGGCACTTATTATGGTTTTCCCCCTTTGTAGTCTTTTTTATCAAACGTTTAGTCAGCATAATATGTATCTGCAATGATTAAAATAAAATAAAAGATGAGAAAAAAATTTACAAATATCTAATTACAACTATTTCATTGCATTTTGTTAACCACCTTCACCTAAAGAAGAAGATTCGAAGGGTTGGTTAAATAATACTGTCTATTAGCACTCTTATTTATTGATAATGTGTTCAAGGTAGCCTTTGCATATCATGTTGTTTAGAATTACTATATGTCCAAAAATATGTTGGTGTAAAGCAGTATGAGATTTGCAAGGCTGTGAAAAAAGAACCACACAACTTCCTCGATGAACAAATACAAGCTTTTAATAAAATATAATTTACCAATCGTCTATAAATAATAGGTGAGTTGCAACAAAACAATGGTCAACTCATAATGAGGAAGGTGGAGGGGTAGGAAATACACATAGAGATAACGCATCTGTCTAGAACTGCCCTCCATGCGTAACATGTTTCCCGGTACTGGGTTTTTGTAATTTTGTTTGTAATTGTTTGTTTTGTTCGTGTGTTTGTCTGTGATTGTATAAATGTGACTTCGATGGATTTAACTTTGACGACTTCCTCTGGAATTTAATTTGAGGTCCCTCACAGCCTGATGAAGTTCCCTCCGGAAAGGCTACCAAGGATCACTTTGCCAGTATAAGAAATTTAAATAATTATTTATTATTTTTATAAAGTTTCCAATTATTAACTTTTGTAAAAGTAAATATAAGGAACCAAGCCTAAAATAAGTGTAATGAAAAATGTGCAAATTTTGTAGTAACGGTGAAAGTTAAAGGAAACGTGATTACGACGATCATTTCCCCTATCTAAGAGTTTGTTTGCTAATTAATTAAATATGCCCAACTTAAATAAGGTGTCCCATCACGACGGGTGATATATCCATGTTGGGTCGGTCATACATCATCTGTGATGTCACATTTCTGATGTCAACTCCGGAATACATCACATCAGTTAACTGACGGTTCATACGACTCAATATGTGATATTCAAATGAGAGATTATTGTATGCACATCACTATGTCCTACAGTAAGGTGATAAATATTGGATACAAACAAGTCTAGCTAGAATATGTACAAGTTGATGTAGATATGCATTTAGTTAGTTTAGGTATTTAGTTACAAGTATTTTGGTGTCTGGTAAATGCAGAGACATTACTTCCTCTTTGTTTTTATGAAAATAGAGAAATAAACACAACAATAAAATTTAATCTCAATAATATGAATAGGTTTGTGTATTAAGGAAATCATAATATCAATCATCTAATAACTAACTGCTGAATTCACTGTATTTCCTGTTAGATACAGTCTAACAAACAATCTTTATAAGGAACCGTGATGCAAAGGAATCATTATTGGTTCATATTGAAATACGATTGTTACCAATAGGCTAACAATTCTAAGTTTGTTAATTTTTTAAATTTAATTATTAAATATACAGAAATGCCCTGAAGTTTTTTTTCATGTAATTTTATCTTGTATTGTAAAATAAGGAACAACACTGGATCAAACATTAGTCATATAGATATGGTAATGGATTTCAAAAATACTTAAAATAAGTTCAAACCATCATATGAAAGTTTAACAAAAGTACATCTACTGTCACATATCAGATCTACTTTTGTGCCTGGCTCTCTCAACATTGACAAAATATTCCTCCTCGGATCGTCATATTAGGAGACGCACGACAAAGAGCAGATGAGACCCGGAATGAGACTGAGAAGTCTTGGAATTAATGAGAATAATCCTTACAAAGGATGATGTGTGCGATTCTACAGTCTCTAAAGAGAATATTTGCAGCTTCATTATATTAAAAACTGCGATCTCTTACTCTTGTTTTAAGTTTATATTTCCTTCTTTTTCTCACTATCAATCTAATTTACGATTAGTTGCCTTATATTTAATAGCTGTAATGACATATAAATTTAATGTAATGCTATTCTTCCAAATTTGATTAAAATATTTAAAAGTTGTACAACTTAATCCTATACTCTAATACGAGCAATGTTTGCTTGTATGTATGTATGTATGTATGCTTGCACCAAGATCTCGAAAACGGCTCCGACGATTTTCTTCAAATGTTGTAAGTCGTTTATTCCTGGCCTAAAAACGAGTTAACTTCAGTTAGAACTGCCAACAAAAATCTAATTACGTAGAAAAATGAAACTGTAAGTTAATTTTTTTTTAACATTAGTCTTATGGGTTGCTAAGTAACCATCTTGGCTGAATTAAATAACAAGGAAAAAGTAAACAAAAGAGTTGTAAGTTGTCTATCCACAGTATACTAGCAAAACAAAATACAGTACAAAAGGAAAAATACCAGTTGTTACTATTGACCAAAGATTATACTGAAGATTACTCGATACATTGTTGTGAAGAGTAGCAGTGTGGAGTGTGGGATCTGTTTATGACGATTAGATTACGGTATCTGCAATCCTTAAATGCTATGGGAAGGGAAGGAAACAGGTCCGCGACGTAGGAAGTGATGAAGGAAGTAGTAAAGGCGAGTAGTCCGGAGTTTGGGAACTGTTTATGACGATTAGATTAAGATTTCTGCAAACCACAAATGCTATGGGAAGGGAGGGATACAGGTCCGTGACGTAGGGATTGATGAAGGAAGTAGTAAAGGCGAGCAGTCTGGAGTGTGGGAACTGTTTATGACGATTAGATTAAGGTATCTGCAATCCTAAAATGTTATGGGCTGGGAGGAAAACAGGTCCGTGACGTAGGAAGTGGTAAAGGAAGTAGTCAATGTGAGCTGTCCGGAGTGTGGGGACTGTTTATGACGATTAGATTAAGGTATCTGCAATCCTAAAATGCTATGGGAAGGGAGGAAAATAGGCCTGAGACGTAGGAAGGGGTGAAGGAAGCAGTAAAGGTGAGCATTCTGGAGTGTGGGAACTGTTTATAACGATTTGATTAAGGTATCTGCAATCCTAAAATGCTATGGGAAGGGAGGAAATAGGTCTGAGACTTAGGAAGTGGTGATGGAAGTAGTAAAGGAAAACAGTGTGGAGAGTTGGAACTGGAAACCGTTTGTAGTAGTTAGATTAATGTATCTGCAATACTGAAATGCTATGAGAAGGGAAGGAAACGTGTCCACGACATAGGAAATGGTGTAAGAAGTAGTAAAGTCTAGCAGTGCGGAGTCTGGGGAATGTTTGTGGCAATTATATTAATTGATCTAAAATACTTAAATGCTATGGAAAGAGATGAAAACAGGTCCAGGACGTAGGAAATGGTGAAAGAAGTAATGACGCCAGCAGTGCAGAGTGTGGGAACTGCCTGTGGCAATTATGTATCTGCAATTCTAAAATGGTATAGGGAAGGAGGGCAAACAGATCCACGACGTAGGGAGTGGTGAAGGAAGTAGTAAAGGCGACCAGTGTGGAGTTTGGGAATGGATTAATCTATCTGCAATACTAAACTGATTTCAGAGTAATAATGATTTTCCCCGAGCAAAGCTCGTTCCCCAGGTACTAGATACTAAACCTTCTCTAAAGTTTATATAGAATTTAAAATAAACAACAATATTATATATGTTATATTACATTTGTTTTTAAAGTAATCTAAAAAACGGAATTTTAAAACTGTATAAAAACCTAGTATCAAGGCATATAATATTCAAATTTTGTTAATATTTTGTATTGAAAGTATGTTGCGTAAGATAAAAAAGGTTAAATGTGATAACCTTTCTTCATACAGGTTTACTCTTAGACATAACCTTAAATTAAATTTTGATTTAAGTTTATTAAAAGACAAAAAAAAAACAGACTGAAGCAATCCATCACCCTCTTTCGGACAGTTATGAAATCTTATTTAACCAACTTAACCTAAACTAACAGTAGA